TTTTTTTGGTACCAGGGATCGAACTTGGGACCCTGCGCTTGTGAGGCAGGCGGCAGAACCACTGAGCTAAATCCCTGGCCCAGGTGTAGTCTTACTAGTTGTACTCAACTAGATTACACCTAGTTGTACAATTTGCCTAACAAATGAATTTGCTTTCAACTTAGTTTTGTTCTGTGAACGTAACCGGTATAGAGTGCTGCTAACGTTCATGCCTGCTGTGCCCATGTTCAAACAGCTCTAGGTGTTCTGCCCTAATTCTGTCCCGCAGAGCTGTAAAGAATGCGGCTAAAACACCATTCCGTAAATTCTAGCCTACTCAGTAGGATACCCTGCCAAAAACAAAACTAAGAAAACACTGTTAAGTATTAGGAACAAAACATGGTATTTCAGATAAATGGAATACAACTGTTCAATGCATGACATTGGGAAGGCTTGTGATAAGTATTTTTGGAAATAAAATAATTTAGATGCCGCCTCACATTTAAAAAAAAAAAAAAAAGACAAAAGACTAGCCAGAAAATCTGGAGAATTAACTGAAAAAACTAACAGAAACAGTCAAAATAATCAGTTAGTACATTGGACAAGATTATATAAAAAAATCAAATGTTTTCAAATATCATCAAAAACTAGTTAAACATAATGAGAACAATTTAATTTATAATATCAACAAAAATTACAAAACACCCAGAAATATACCTAACAAGAAAAACAAAACAAAACAAAACAAAAAAACGACGCTCTACTGAAGGACAGAGAGAAACTGAATGGAAAAATATCTCATGCTCCTGCGTACAAGACTGAATGTTTTGAAAGCATCAATTCATGTGCACCCAAATTAATCCTATACACCCAATATAATCCCAACAGATGAAAAGAAATTTTCACAGAACTTGAAAAGTTAAGTATATGGCAGAATGTGGTATTTCAGATAAATGTAGTAAGACTGTTTAAGATATACTGTTGGGAAGGCTTGTGATTCAATACTTTTGGAAACAAAATAATTTAGATGCCACCTCATACAATAAAAAAATTCTACATTGAGAAGAATAAATCATAAAAGTATGAAAA